GCTCGGCGTGTGGTGCTCGGCGTGTGGAGCTCGGCGTGGGCTCTCGGTGTCGGCTGTGTGCTCCGGTGCATTCCCAGTGCTGTGTTCTGGTCACCACTCTGTGCTCCTGTGGATTCCCAGTGCTGTGTACTGGTCTCCACTGTGCACTCATACAGGTGCCCAGTGCAGTGTCCCAGTCCCCTCTGTGCTCCTATGGATTCCCAGTGCAGTGTCCCAGTCTCTTCTGTGCTCCTGTGGATTCCCGGTGCTGTGTACTGGTCCCCTCTCTGTGCTCATTCAATGCTCGGCGTGTGTTGCTCGGCGTGTGGTGCTCGGCGTGTGGTGCTCGGCGTGTGGAGCTCGGCGTGGGCTCTCGGTGTCGGCTGTGTGCTCCGGTGCATTCCCAGTGCTGTGCTCTGGTCACCCCTCTGTGCTCCTGTGGATTCCCAGTGCAGTGTCCCAGTCCCTTCTGTGCTCCTGTGGATTCCCAGTGCTGTGTACTGGTCCCCTCTGTGTGCTCATACAGGTGCCCAGTGCAGTGTCCCAGTCCCCACTGTGTGCTCCTGTGAATTCCCAGTGCTGTGTTCTGGTCACCACTCTGTTCTCCTGTGGATTCCCAGTGCTGTGTACTGGTCTCCACTGTGCACTCATACAGGTGCCCAGTGCAGTGTCCCAGTCCCCTCTGTGCTCCTATGGATTCCCAGTGCAGTGTCCCAGTCTCTTCTGTGCTCCTGTGGATTCCCGGTGCTGTGTACTGGTCCCCTCTGTGTGCTCATACAGGTGCCCAGTGCAGTGTCCCAGTCCCCACTGTGTGCCCCTGTGAATTCCCAGTGCTGTGTCCTGCTCACCACTCTGTGCTCCTGTGGAGTCCAGTGCAGTGTCCCAGTCTCTTCTGTGCTCCTGTGGATTCCCGGTGCTGTGTACTGGTCCCCTCTGTGTGCTCCTGTGAGTGCCCAGTGCTGTGTCCTGCTCCCCGCTCTGTGCTCCTGTGGAGTCCAGTGCAGTGTCCCAGTCTCTTCTGTGCTCCTGTGGATTCCCGGTGCTGTGTACTGGTCCCCTCTGTGTGCTCCTGTGAGTGCCCAGTGCTGTGTCCTGCTCACCACTCTGTGCTCCTGTGGATTCCAGTGCTGTGTTCTGGTTCCCACTGTGTGCTCGTACAGGTGTCCAGTGCTGTGTCCCAGTCCCCTCTGTGTGCTCCTGTGGGTGCCCAGTGCTGCATACTGGTCCCCACTGTGTGCTCATACAGGTGTTCAGTGCTGTGTCCCAGTCCCCTCTGTGCTCCTGCAGATTCCCAGTGCAGTGTCCCAGTCCCCTCTGTGTGCTCCTGTGAGTGCCCAGTGCTGTGTCCTGCTCCCCACTCTGTGCTCCTGTGGATTCCCAGTGCTGTGTTCTGGTCACCACTCTGTGTTCATGTGGATTCCTAGTGCTGCGTCCTGGTTCCCACTGTGTGCTCGTACAGGTGTCCAGTGCTGTGTCCCAGTCCCCTCTGTGTGCTCCTGTGGGTGCCCAGTGCTGCATACTGGTCCCCACTGTGTGCTCATACAGGTGTTCAGTGCTGTGTCCCAGTCCCCTCTGTGCTCCTGCAGATTCCCAGTGCAGTGTCCCAGTCCCCTCTGTGTGCTCCTGCAGATTCCTAGTGCAGTGTCCCAGTCCCCTCTGTGCTCCTGTGGATTCCCAGTGCTGTGTCCCAGTCCTCAGTGTGTGCTGGTACCAGATACCAGATCTAGGTACAGTGACTGGAAGTCTGGTGTGTGCTCCTGTGGGTGCCAGGTCCTGGTGTGTGCTCCTGTGTGTGCCCAGCCCTGTGTGCTGTGCCCTGGTTTGTGCCCAGGTGGGTTCCTGGTGTGGTGTCCCAGAGCACTGAGAACCACTGGTCCTTGTCCGAGTGTCCCTCGCGGTGACAGGGAGGGACGTCCCGGCCTGGACAGGCTGTGGCTGTGGTGGCCTGGGCTGAGCTGCTGCTCCATCCCTGTGCTGATGGTGGGTGATGGGATGGCCCAAGCTTTGTGTCCCCACCAACACCACATTTCCATTCCCAGTGAAAGCCACGATGCCGATTTGGGTTGTTCTTCTCTCGCGGATCATCATGAAGGAAAAGCAGACGACGAAGGTGAGCACAGGTTTGCTGAGGCTCCTCTGTGGTGTCTGGGCTGTGCTGGGGCCAGGAGAGCTCAGGCTTTGGGTGGCTGGGTGGGTTTTGTGAGTGCAGATTTTACAAGTTCCTTTTCCTGTGACTGTAAAACACATCCAGGCACTGAGGAAGGTGATGCTCCCTGATGCACTGGAGTTGTAGTGTCTGTTGTAGTCAATAGTATAAACCTTGATCCCTGGTTCTGTTGCTTTGTCCTTCTCCTTTCCTCCCTAAGGATGTATAAACTCAGCTGAAATGAGAAGCCTTAGGGTTTGCAAGCTCCTCCTCTCTTCCCCTTTCAGGTGTACCTGTCCCTGATCCCCATAATCACTGGTGTCCTGTTGGCCACTGTCACAGAGCTTTCCTTTGACATGTGGGGACTCATCAGTGCACTTGCTGCTACTCTGTGCTTTTCACTCCAGAACATCTTCTCCAAGAAGGTAACACTTCTGCTCTTCATCATGTTGGTCAGTCACATTATCCTTGAGCAGGACAGTGTGTCCTTTCAAGTAGACATAAATATCTTTTCAGTTGACTTTGCAGCTGAAGGAGCCCAAAGAAACAGTTGCTGGTTTTTGTGTGTATTCCCTGCAGCAATTCCTACCTGTTGAAACACAGAAAACTGGGCAGAACTCAGAGTTTATCCTGAGCTTTTCCTCCTCAGCATGGATGATTTTCTACTGACAGTTCAGTAGTGCTTGGATTGAACAGCTCATTTGAAAGCTTTTCATGCACCTTGTACCAAATCCTTTCTCTGCAGTGAATGTGTCAGGGTCAACACTGAGCACTCCTTGAAATCCTGGGAGCAAAATCAAAGTGTGTGTCTTGACTATTTAGTGACAAAACGATTCCTGGTTTGCAGAGCCTTTAAAACCTGTTCAAATTTTGTTGATACTGAGTCACCCCTGGAGAAACCATTGTGTTTCCAAGGGACATCAGTTTGGCTTTGGTCAGCCCTAGAGGAAATTCCTCCTGTAACAGTGTTCCCATAGTTTGCTGTCACCTAAAGCTGTTCCTGTCTCACCACTGATGTTCAGTAATGGTTTTGTCAGGTGTTAAGAGACTCAAGAATTCATCATCTTCGGCTGCTGAACATCCTGGGCTGCCACGCCGTGTTCTTCATGATCCCAACGTGGGTGTTGGTGGATCTTTCTTCCTTCTTGGTAGAGAATGACTTGGTAAGTGTTGTCTCTTTGCTATTAAGAAAGGAAAGAGGGGGGAAAAAACCCCCAAAACCCCACAACAAACTTCACCACCCAACCAGAAAAGCGCAGCTCAGCGTTTGGGTGTAGTTCCTCCTTGGTGTGGAAGGAACTGTTGTGAAACACCTGCAGATAGTTTCACAAAGCAATGCAGAGTGTTGAGTGTGAGGATCCCTGTCAGGGTTAGGAGAAGCAGCTTTTGGGACAGTGTAAATGTCAGGAGGCAGGGACAGATGCTCCCAGAATGTGTGGGAAGTACCTAACTCCTCTGGTTCCTCTGGGTTGGTAGTTGCACAATGCTTGGGCCCCTCTGGAGTGAGCTGCAGATCCTCCTCCTGCCAATGGCAGCTGAGGAGTGACTCAAAGTTGTGTTTGTGTTGTTACCTGAAACCTGAGATAAGGTTTTTTTTTTCTTGTACTGTTTGCTTTACCACAGAGCACAATGTCTCACTGGTCCTGGACCTTGATGCTGCTGATAATCAGTGGATTCTGTAATTTTGCCCAGAACGTTATTGCCTTCAGTATCCTTAACCTGATCAGCCCCCTCAGCTACTCTGTGGCCAATGCCACCAAGAGGATCATGGTCATCACGGTGTCCCTCATCATGCTGCGTAACCCTGTCACGAGCACCAACGTCCTGGGGATGATGACAGCAATCCTGGGGGTCTTCTTGTACAACAAGGTAAGGAGCTCCTTGCTTGCTTGGTTATTCACGCCAAGTCCAGTAGCTTTGAATTAGTTTTTGGACAATGAGTTAAGAGCTAGTGGAACAAAAATGTGAAACAGATGACAAAAAGGTTCATTGCAGAGGAGGGATGAGAGTGGCCCGAGTGAAGGACTTGAGTGGCTGGGTCAGACCAGCTCTTGGGCCTCTCACAAACTGCAGTTTTGTTATATTTTCTTGAAGAGATTGGGAAGTAACTCAAGTGTCTTTGATCAAAAAAAAATAGCTTGTTCACTTAGCCTGTGAGAGGAATGAGGTTTTTATGAGAAGCCACTAATGCTTTAGGGCTGACAGGCACAGGGAGTGATGTGACTGTAGAGCTGTGTGGGTTTTCTGGGTCTATGAACACGTCAGGTGGTATCTAAGAAAATCTTCTCTCCGTGGAAAGGGCTGTCAGGCATTGGAACAGGCTGCCCAGGGAGAGGAGGTGCAGTCACCATCCCTGGAGGTGTTCTGGAAGGGACTGGATGTGGCACTCAGTGCTCTGCTCTGGTTGATAAGGTGGAGATCAGTCCCAGGTTGGACTCGATGATCTCAAAAGTCTTTTCCAACCTCAATGATTCTGTGAAAACCCATCATTTCTTCTTTCCCAGACAAAATACGACGCAAACCAAGAAGCAAAGAAGCAGCTGCTTCCAGTGACAACTGGAGACCTTGTGACCTTGGACCGACACCGAGGCCCCACCGAGAAGGCTCAGAATGGACTGACCACGTTCGCCCAGCACGGAGACTACCAGTACGGCCGAGCCAACGTCCTCACGGACCACTTCCAGTACCCCAGGCAGAGCCACCCCTCGGCCTACAGCCTCAACAGGTTTGATATCTAGAGCCTGGCAGCAGGCACAGGCTGAGCTCAGCGTCCCCAGCATTATCAGAAACTCCTAGCACACCCATGAATGTCACGAGCCACGTGTGGCAGCAGGGCAGGTGGTGGAAGAGGTACAGAGCTGCAGCTGCTGCTGGGCAGAGCTTTAACTGTGGCACAGCCAGAGCTGACAGTGGAACCAAACCCTCAGGATGGTTCCTAACATCTGCTGTCACTGCTCCTTTCAGAGCCTGTCAACTGGTGGTTCTCTTGGCAGCTAAATCCTGGCCAGTGTCTTGTCTCCACGCTGGTAAGGTCACCTTGAATTTGTCTCTAATGATGTTTTAGTGCTACTTTGAATGAAGCTTTCAGAGAGAAGTGAAAGTCAGAGTTCCTTCTGGTTATCTGGATGTGTCTGAGGAGGATTGACTGAGGTGTATCAGCTGCAGACAGGTAAACCTGAGCTCATCTCCAGCCTCTGTGGACCTTCCCGTGGGTACTTCCTGCTCTCGTGCCTCTGCCTTCGGCCCTGGATGACACACAGAAGTGTTTCTGAGGGAGCAGGTGGTGGAAGGATTGATCTCTCCCAGAATTATGCTTCAGGCATGTGGAGACAGATCCCCAAACTCACTGTTGCCCTTCACTGCAGAGAACATCCAAGCTGAGCTTAAAATCCCAGTTGTTTTCCCAGTCATGTAGTCCTGTAATCCAGACATTGCTCTTCCCTGGCCATGCAGGAAACTCCTCCACAAATAAAGTGTTTGGAATAATAGGATTTTATTTTTTTACTCCACACTTGTTCTTCCCCAAATCTTGTCTTGCTTTAGAAACTGAAAGGTGTTATGGTCTCAGTTTTATGCAGAAATGATGCTCTCTTATATGATTGGTATATGAACAATGCATTGATTTGATTGATCCTCGTTCTTAATTGTTTCTTAAGTCTTTTTAGTCCCTGGTTGTTTTGGTTTTAATCTCTTCACTGCTGCTGCTGGTGCTGCTCTGTGCAGTTAGCCTGAGTTCTGCTTTCTGCCCCAAGGAGTTCAGTTTTGCATCCTGTGCTGTTCCTGCAGCTCCTCTGGCTCCAGCAGGAAGTTAAGGAAAAATGGTTTGGATCAGCAGCAAACGTAATTATTGTCAAGAACTGATTGAGGGTAAATTAAGGTCCTTAATTGTGTGTGTCAGGGACTGCACTGGTGCATGGAGGGGCTGAAACCAACTGAACTTGGGTTTCACTGAATCAGGTTTTGTCATTGCTGTAGCAGGAGATTTTTGGGGCCTTTCCTGCCCAGAGAAGCTGTTGTACAGTGAGACTTGAATAGCATTAACTGCTGTGCTGTTACTAGAGAGGTAACAGTGACAACATCCAGGGTGTGGCACAGAACACTCTTCTTATTTATTGCTTTACCAATCAGCATTTCCATGATGAGAGATGATGATTTGGCTCCTTTCTGGATAATAAAGGATTTATTTTGAAGTGCAGAATCAAGCTGAACTGATTTTTTGGCTGCTGGGGTGGTGGTGAGAGAGCAGTGTCCCAGCAGAGGGTCCAAAAGAGGAGATGCTCCTTCTGGAAATGCAGAGTTGGGTTCAATATGCTGCTGCTGTGTGTGAGCAGAACTTCCCTGCCCTGACTGGAGCTCAGGCTGTTCAGGCTACCTTAGAACTTGGGAGTTTAGGTTAGAAAGTCTAAATAAATCAGTCCTTAGCCCAGGTGAACAAGGTTGTGAGGGAAACTTGCTGTCAGGTGAGATTTCTTTTGCCTGTCCCAGGGTTAATGTATGTGTGATTTTAATGAGGGAAGGTGCCAGATGTGGCTCACTCTCCAATCTGAATGCTTCTCCATACCTGTAAGAAAGGTTATGTGCACTCTGGGCTTGGGTTAGGTTCTGGCTCTGCAAAAGGCTGATTCAGGCTGAGATTTTTCAGAGGGGCAGAAGTTCTCCAGCTGCTTTCAAAGGGAGCAGCAGGCCCTGAGCTGTTAAGACTCCTGCAAACCTGAGTGTCTGTTCTTTGTGCCTCAGTTTCTCACTTGGGAAATGGAGAGGATTCTTCCCTACCTCACAGTGGGGGTGAAATACCAGAACAGAATTAGCAGTGGGAGCCTCAGGGATGTCCAGTCAGTTCACCTGGGGTGTGTTTGCTGCTGTGCCATCTTCACACAGCCTCAGCTGCTCCGTGGAGTAAATCCCCACAGACTTTACTCACAGATCAGAGGCTTCATTACATCTATTTCATGCTTTCCTTTTGAAGAACATATGTGGCAAGTCTTTAGCTCAGATTTTTCCTGCAGTCTGGCAGCAGGTGATGGTTTTCTGTTCAAAACACATTGCCCCAAATTCCAGTCTGGACTCATGGCCTCACTGTGTCTCTGAAGTAAAACTCCTGTGCTTGCAGAGCCAAAAAAAAAAAAAAAAAGAGGACTGACCCAAAAATGAGAATATTGTGCAGTTAGGGCCCAGAGAGTGAATCTCTCCCCTGGCAGTGTTCCTGCTCCTCCAGTCCAGGTCTGTGGTCAGCAGAGCTAATTGTGTGCAGTACAAGGTATAATTAAAACAATTAGGAGAGGCTTTGCTGACTCCTGAATCCCAGTCCTTAAGCAATATTGCCCACATTCAGGGAGAGGAAGTTTCTGATACTGTTGTAATATATATTTTAAAATCTTGGACCTCTGTGAGATTTTTGTTTGGCAAAGTGAAACCTTTGAACATGGTGTGTAAATGACATATTTAACTCTGTACATAGGTCTGTAGAAGGTACAGAAACACTGGAATAAAAAAAAGGGCAAATCTAGACAATTGTGTATGATGATCCTGTTATTAAATCAAAGCCAGGGGGGGTGGGTTGGGTTGATTCCTTGCAGGAAACTTTGGAAGTGCCATAGGAATTGGGCTGATGCTTTGCTGTGTGGGATTACACAGCATGAAACCACAGGGACTGGAATGCTGTAACCAGAGTTAGGACATCCTTAGGATGCTTTAATTGATGCATTTTAACATGTAAACACATCACAACATCGGGAAATTCTTCCCCAAACAGTCCTGGATAGTTCTAGAAACACCAAACCCAATCTCTCCCCACTCCATGTGGGTTTTTCTCTAGGCTCTGTAGACTATTTGGTGCTCTTTCAAGAGATCTTCCAAATCCCTCCCTTGCAGATCCCATTTTAGTGCCCAGTGGTGATTAGAGCCTCTTTATCACCTGGGAAAGTGCTTGTGGCTATTAAATGATTGAGGCTTTGTTAGGTGTGCAGTGATTTGTAAAAACCCTGTTGGGAATTTGGGGTCAACTCCTGAGGATTCCTGAAGCTCCAACTTGTGTTCAAACCCACATTTCTCTGACGTAGCTTTTTTTTTTTTTGGCAGCAGAAGGACCTTCTGCCACGTAGCTCTTTGTGGAACAGGTGCAATATAAATAGAGGAGAAATGTTGTTTTTCTAAGGCTTCAAGCTCTGAGCCACGTTGGGAGCTGTTAAAAATAACCCTGAGATCTCTCTGTGGTGGTTTAGGTCAGCGAACCAAACGTGTTCAGCCTGGAGTGACAGGTGTGTGGTGCACTCAGCGTGGGGCTAGGAGTGCAGAGATGCAGGTGGCAGTCACCACTCAGCTCTTCTTGTTGCTTTTTATACTCCAGCTCTACAAATGGATGTGAATATTCGTGGGTTTACCCCCAAAAAACCCCCAACCAACCAACCCTGCTCTGCTCACTGTATGAAATCCTGCACTCAGCAAACAAAGTTGTTTTCCTGCTCTTACTTCCACTCTGTTGTTGTGTGAAAGTTCTGGATGTCACTCCCTCCAGGCTGATGGGAAAAACCACACTGGTGGCTTCCAGCTCCTGCGAGTCCTTCCTGCCTAAATCCAGGTGCTCAGATGGATTTGGGCAGACACCTCTGGCAGCAGCTGTGGCTTTTTGGGGCTGAGGAATGTGGCAGG